GAGGATAGTGAGACTTTTAAAAATACAAAGCAAAGCTTTAAAAAGGTACGTGGAACAAGTGAGTCAAATAATTTTAAAACATTAATGCCAAGTTACTGATGCCATTTCATTTATTTTATAGATGTATAAATGTACGGATTTATAGACTTGTTTTGCCATGCCAAGGACCAAACCCAGAGCCTTATACATGCCAAGCTAGTGCCCTGCTCTTGATCCCCATCTCCTTCTCTATTCAATTTTCTTTATCCTCAAAACTTTTTTTTTTTTTATTTATTGAATCACTGTGGGAAAGGTTACAAAGCTTTCAGGTTTACGTCTCAGTCATGCAAATATCAAACACATTTCCCTTTACCAATACTTACTTTTTACCATGAAGAACCCCAATAAAACCCCACCCCCCACCCCTCCCCGTCCCTGTGAGGCAGATGAATTCTAGTTAACACTCTATCTGCTTTGATTGTTTCAATAAAAGATTCACCACTATTATTTAGAGTTTACCCCCCCCCCCAAATCAGACATGCTGAAAAACCATTGTGAAGTGATTTGCTTTCTACAGCTGGGTTCAAGAATTAAATGTTGGTTTTGGATTTCTGCTATTTTACCTATTGACCCTGGAAGTATTTCTACTGAAAGTCGGATAGTTAAGAAATTGGTTTCTGTGTTCTGGAGTCGTGGCCGTGCTGGAGAGCCGCTCGCGGGGGGCAACCGGTGGCCTCGGTAGGGCGTGAAGGGCGGAGCGAAACGCCCCCCTTCCCATGAGGTTTTAGTCGCCCCCACACTCCCGGCTCATACCTGCTGTCCACAAGGCTCCCATGTGGCCGCCATCTTTCTTTCCAGAGAGGAGAGGGCAAATGGGGCAACACCCTTTCCCCTCCGGCAGACTTGATGGGCTGGATCAACGCATAGTCCGTTCACTTTTCTGCTCCAAGCTGCTGGGTTCTGCATTAAGTCCTTGTGCTTCTGGGGCCATGGCCGTGCTGGAGAGCCGCTCGCGGGGGGCGACTGGTGACCTTCTTCCCAGGACCAGAACGCCCCCCGACCCATGATATCCTCAAAACTTTAATTCACCTCCCCTTACCAGAGACATACAAATAAGCACCAAGGGTCAGGGAGAGGACTCAGGGGTAAAGGATAGGCCTTGTATGACATAGCCCTGAGTTCCATCTCTCTCTTTCTCTCTCTCTCTCTCTCTCTCTCTCTCTCTCTGTCTCTCTCTCTCTCACACACACACACATACACACACACACAAAGTCCAAAAAAACAAAACCATGGCGGTGGGAGGCTAGTGGATCTTACTGATCTATATAACATTACTGAGTGAAGTTATGCAAAACTTTACTACTTTTGATTTGCTTGCTAACTTGTTGAAAGTTTAGCAGTAAAATTATAACTTTTCTACACTATCAATGTCAGCAAGACTAGGACCAATGTATACATTTACTGGAGAATGATTAATCTCTTTAGAGCAAAAACACACAAGTAAATAAGAATCTCCAGTCACTCTCAATTTTCCTATAAGCACATGAATTACCTGCCAAAGTATTCCTGATTTTAGAGTGAATTTTGTGAGAGATGGTGCATTTTAAATAAAGCAGTTACCTTCTTCCCAGGGGAAATGTCTACTGTTTAAAATCAAAACACAATACAAATGGGGCCAAAGATATTGTACAACAGGTAGAGTGCACGCCTTGCATAGAGTCAACCCAGTTTGATCCCCACATCCCAAATGCCCCCACCCCCACTCCAAGAGGTGGCAAGAATGATCCCTGAGAGCAGAGCAGAGGACGAGTGATCCCTGAGCAACACAGGGTGTGTTCAAAAATGAAAAACATAACAAGAAAATAAAAGCACAATACTGATGTCAAACAGTATCTCTATCTGGAAAAAGCAAAGGAAAGCAGGCCAGTGTAGGAAAGTGACACCAAAGTCATTTCCAGGTCGAGAGTGCATCCTCGCAGAGAATGACTCCCTGGTCAGTTCTGGCTCTGCGGCTGGGGTTGAGGGGAGGAAGGCCGGGGGTGGGGGAGGGCTGGCATTGGGTATGAGAGTCGGAGGGTATGAGAGCCTTTGCCATGGATTCATGGAGGCTGCCTGTGCACCAAACAACTGGCACATGCACCCCAGTCTCCAGGGGGCTGTAGACCTGCGCTTCCGGCAGGATTAAACTTGCCCCCAGCAGCTCCCCTTGGAAGCTACAATCTCCACCTCCTCCTCCTTAGGAAAACTGACTCCAATTCCCACACATCACTTAGAGGTCCTGGCACTCTGCATCAAAAGACCTTTGCATCACAGCTGTTGGTAAAAACCTGGCACCTAACCTGAGTTCACCAGACATCGAGAAGGAAGGTTCCCACCACCACTACCAACAAGTTATTTGCATGAAGGGACATAGCCCAGTTGAGAATCTAAGTGTGACTAATTCCGATGGTCTAACTTCCATGTACTCTACATAGAAGAGGGTGTTACAAGTCATCCCTCTTCCAAATTAATATTATTCTTGTACTGACTCTCACTTTAAAGAGAAAAACATCTTAAAAATAATATAGGGAGAGGCTGGAGCGATAGCACAGCAGGTAGGGAGTTTGCCTTGCATGCAGCCAACCTGGATTTGATTCCCAGCATCCCATATTGTCCCCTTAGCACCACCAGGAGTAATTCCTGAGTGCAGAGCCAGGAAGAACCACTGTGCATCGCTAAGTGTGACCCAAAAAAAAGCAAAATAATAATAATAATAATAATAATAATAATAATAATACAGGGGCTGGAGCGATTGTACAGGGGGAAGGGCATTTGCCTTGCACACAGCCAACCCAAGTTTGAACCCTGGTGTCTCATATAATCCCCCGAGCACCGCCAGGAGTAATTCCTGAGTGCAGAGTCAGGAGTAACCCAGTGTGCCAGTGTGAACCAAAAGACTATACATACAAACACAATATTAACACACAAATTAATATTGTGTATATATATATGTATATACATATACACAGTGGTTGGAGAGATAGCACAGCACGTAGAGCCTTGCACGTGGCTAAAGCGGCCAACCCAAGTTCGATTCCTCCACCCCTCTCTGAGAGCCCGGCAAGCTACCAAAAGTATCTCGCCTGCACCGCAAAGCCTGGCAAGCTACCTGTGCCGAATTCGATATGCCAAACACAGTAACAACAATTCTCACAAAGGAGACATTACTGGGCCCCGTCGAGCAAATCAATGAACAACAGGAGGGCAGTGCTACAGTATATACACACAATATTAATTTTAAAGTAGTAAGATTAAAACATGCCTTCCAAAACTACATTGAAGGGACAAACTTTATAGTAACTTTCCCCTTTTGGGAGAGGGGGGGCGGGGAGGGGGAAATCCTGCCAGTGCTCAGGGGGCCAGTGGTTCCCAGGGACCACACCTAGGGTTTCTGCGCGCAAAGCATGCCCTCCCTCCCAACCATCACCCCAGCACATAAGAAGCACTCTGATGGTCAACGGTCCACATACTGTTAGTGCAAGACCACAGCACTCTAAGAATGTTTATTCAAGAACTTTATAGTTGGCAAGAATATGAACCAAGAGATTTTATCATTTCTCCGTAACTGATGTACTAATCTCCAAACCCGCCGCTGGCTTTCTCGAAATTCACTGCCTGCTTCCTGCCAGTTTGCCAGTTTACCTCCCTTCCCCTCCAGGAAAGCCACCGTTTCCCCCTCCTCCCCCTTGCCACCAGTCTAGGTTCCCTGGTCCCTTTTCTCCCACTTTTTCCGGAGAAGCCACAAACGTGGCTCAGGGGCGAGGGGGCCACCTCGGGTGAGCCCTGACTGCTGAGATGGTGGGATTTGCCCCGCCAGCGGCCAGCGCTGTCCTGCAGCTCGGGGAGGCTGAGGAGCAGGTCTCGGCGCCCAGGTGGGGCCAGGGCCTGTTTACCGGTGCAACTGTCCTGGGCAGGGTGATGTCATGTGCAAACACCGCCGAACTGCCCCATCGGCCATCCTGCCCCGAACAAGTGGCCCGGCAGGAAGCACGAGACTCCCGGCCCACCAAACTCCTCTGCGTCGTCGCAAAACCTGGTTTAGAAACCCAAGTTTCTCGGAGTCTGTCCCGAGGAACTCATCAAGGTCTTAAAACGACAGAATCAGTCGGAAAAGAAAAAAAAAGAAAGAAAGAAAAAAAAAGAAACTGGGCTGCCTCAGGATACCTGTCCTGGCTACGAGGGATCTTTTGCTCCACTCCCCCCCGCCACCCCGGCACCCAGTCTAAAAAAAAAAATGAAAAAATGTAGGTGGTTTCCTCGGGGGCGCATCCGCACGGGACCCCGCGGCGACCTCGGCGGCGAGACCTCGGCTCGGCTCGGAACGCGAGCGGGCCGGAACCAGGCGCGGACTCCGGGGGGTGCGACGCGAGAGCGCGCGTGCAGGCGCGCGGGTCGCCGGGCTCCCGAGCCCCTTCCCCTCAGGGGGCTCCGCCACAGGAACGGGGGGGGGGGGGGAGCGCCACATTACAAAATCTAAGATGAAATTTTAAAAAAGGGCAGTTCCTCCCCCCACGCCCCCCCCACACACACACCATCCTGCCGGGGCGTCCCGAAGGGCGCGCCGGGCCGGTGGGCGCGGGACCCCCCACACACACACACCCGGACCCCGCGGCGCGTCTCGTGGTGGGCTCGGCCGGGCGTCCACGCTGGGGCCGACGGCGAAAATACCCTCAAAGGGAAAAAAAAAACAAGGAATTTAAAAATAAAGCCGCAGCCCGAGGCGGCTCGGTCCCCGCTCCCGACGCGCGCTGCGGTGCTCCCTCAGCCCTTCGCCGAGCGACCCCGGCGACCCCCGCCCCGCCACCAACTTCGCCGAGCGAGACGCGGCCCCGGGGGTCCCGGTGTGGTGGGGGGGCTCCGGGGGGGATCCCGCCCCGGGGGTCCGGGCGCCCCTCCCCCGCGCGGCCGAGGCCGGGAATGGCGGCGCCCGGCGTCCCGGCGGGAGGAAGCCCCGGGCGGAAGCGCGGCGCCCGCCAAGTTACCTCAGGCCGGGCCGGGGGCGGGGGCTGCGCGGGGCTGAGGCGCTGCTGAGGCGCTGCTGAGGCGCTCGCTGAGGCGCTCGCTGAGGGGCGGCTGAGGCGCGGGCTGAGGCGCTCGCTGAGGCGCTCGCTGAGGCGCGGCTGAGGCGCGGGCTGAGGCGCTGCTGGGGCGCTGAGGCGCTGCGGGCTCCGGCGGCGCGGCAGGTCGCGGCGGCTACCGCAGTGCCCTCCGCCCCATTGTTTCCGTCCCCGATCCCGGCGCGGCCGAGCCCGGGAACCAGGAAGTGGCCCGGCGCGACACCTCCCGCGGCCGCTATGGAAACGGCCCCCGCCTCCAGGGCGGCCCGCCCGGGACCCCGCCTCCGCGCCGCCGGCCCCGCCTGTTCACCGGCCGCCGCCAGGCGCCGCCGCAGCGGCCGCGGCCGCCGCCATCTTGGCGCGGCCAGGGCGGGCGGCCCCTTCCGGGCGGCACGTGCGCGCCGCGGGCGGGCGCGGCCCCGCGGCCCCCGTACGGGAGCGCGCGCGCCCGCGCCGGCCGCTTCCCAGGCGCGCGCCCTGCCCTCCCCCCGCAGCCGGGGAACCAGGCGCCAGGCTGGTGGTGTCCGAGTGGCAGGTCGCTGGGTGCAACGCCAGAGCAGGGGCAGGGCCGCCCGGCAGGGGGCTGCTGGCCGGCTGGGCCTCTCTGGACACTGCCTGGCGGTCCCCGTGCCTCGTTTGCGTTCTCCTTTTCTGAGAACTGACTTTGATTCATCAGGTGCCTGCCCGGCCCGGCCCGGCCCGGCCCGGCCCGGCCCGTAGGAAGCGGCCGCCAAGTAGCCTGGCCTCCCCCCAGGTCCCGGTTCTGCAACTTTCATCTCTGCCCTGCACTGTCCCCTACACTGCCCGGCCGCCTCGCCTGCGCAGTCCTCCAGTGCTGCACCTTCTCTCTCCTTTTCTCTAGGTCAGCTTTCCTTTTTTATAGCCGGGAAATTGTCAAGAGTCTCCCATTAAGAGTCTCCCATTAAAAGGTGCCATAAAATTTTTTTAAAAAAAAGACAAATGATGCAAACTTCACAGGGCTGTAATTAGCTGACAGTTGGGTGATTGATTCCATGGAAGCCAGAAGAGTTAGGAGTGCAAATAACTCAGAGGCTTCCTGTCCTTGATTCCAGGAACTCGGATCACTCAGGGCTGGGGACTGCACAATGGCTTTTATCGCCCTCTCAGCCCAGAAACCAGGGGGTGGAGGCAGGAGCCCAGAAAGGAGATGGATGGAGGAGGCAAGGTCCCACCAGGGTACAGATGTTCAGAACTCTACTGCAGTGCAAAGCCAGGAGTAAGCCCTGAGCAAAGATGGATGTGACCCCCCCCACCCCCGGGGGTCTTCATTCATTCAACCCTGGTTTGTAAAGACCGAATGTTTTGTTTTACAATGCTTATGTACCAAATTACAAGTATACTCTGACTCTGATTTGGGGTATAGAAGCAGATCTGGAACTGGCAGGACAGGGGGGAGCTTCCTGGCACCCACACACTTCTCCCGAAGTCCTGGAATGCTCTGATTGGCAATTGAACTGGGTTTCTCTGAGTCTCTGGAAGGCAGGAGCCCCCACTGGCCCAGCAGCCAGCTTTGCATGTGGCAGCACCCCTGAGCACACTTATTGAGTCCAACTGCCGTTTCTGAGCTTGAGCCTTATCACTCAAGGAGACCCGGGGACCACAGATAACTCCCGAGCTCAAGGGCATCGCTGCCAATCAGCCACAAGAACCCCAGTTCTTTGGTTACTGGGCTAATGGGATTCCGGTGAACAGCCTCAGGACACAGGCTTATTTGGCCAAATGAAATGGAAATTCCACTTGCCTCCCCTACCTCATCCCCTAACTGGTTATTTAAGTCATTTTCCAAGCTTTTATTTTGGACCTGGAGAGGAACACCAGTCAATTTCATCATTCAATAACAGCGTGCTGTGTGGTTGCTTTAAGGAAATTCCCAAATTTTCCTCCTAAGCCAGAACATCCCCACTTAGCCATAACTCACTTGAGTGTATTTAAAAATCTAGGTACTATTCACCTATGAACACAGATTTTTCTCTTTATATACCCAGCAGAGTTCAAATTCACTTACCTGGGTCATATAATAAATGCTGAAAATGTTTCATTATTAAGGAAATAAAGATAAGATCTTTTTTTTTCCTCGAAATCAGGGATTGGCACACTTTCTCTAGAAAGGCAAAGATGAATAGAAAAGTAGCCACAGAAACCTGCTTTATGGAAAAGGAGGAACAGAAACCCACTTTTTTTTTATGGAGAAGAAGTGGGTTTCTGTTCCAAAAAAATTCACTTGTGTGGTGGGCTTCCCCATACATAGCTGTTTTTGGTTTTTGTTCTGTTTTAGGGGCACACCCAGTGGTAACCAGGAGTTACTTCTGACTGCATTCAAGGATCACTCCTGGTGAGCTCAGGGGACCACATTGGACGCCAGGGATCAAACCCGGATCGGCCTTGTGGCAGGCAAGGGCCTTACCTGCTATACTATCTCTCTGACCTATACACAGGTATATTTTGCAGACCCTTACTAATTGCATTTGGATTATTTTCACTGCAAGACTATAGTCCCTCCAACATGAAGTCCCAGATGTTAAAATACCCTTCTACTGAAAAAAAGGGTAAAAGGCCAATATCAATCCTTTAAAAGAAAAAAAAAACTCAAAAAACAGGCAGAGTTGTTACCTGCACTAGAAAATAGTGCATCAATATCAAAGGTACAGAACCATGCTGCAAGTATCCAAATAGAATAGCATCAATATTAACAGTTTAGTTTTGCAGAACTTACATACTGAGGCCAGAGTGATAGTGCAAAGGGTAGAATGTTGGCCTTTCAGGCAGCAGACTCTGGATCGATTGTTGGTATCCCATACAGTCCCTCAAGCACTGCCAGGAGTGATTTCTGAGTGCAGAGCCAGGAGTAACACCTGAACATCAGCAGGTGTGACCTAAAACCAAATAAAGTTACATATCATTAAGCTCAAGGTGGCCCAACAGGCTGAGCCTGGGCTTTGCAAGCAGGAGCCCCAGGTTTGATCCCCAGCATGGCATGGTCCCTTGAGCACCTGAGAACAAATCCTGAGCCCTGAGGTGGGAGGAGGCCCTGTGCACTTTGAGGGTCCAGGTCAGAGCAGAGGCTGATGGAACTAATCAGCCACCAAAGGCAAAAGTCTGTTTCAATCCCAGCCTGGCGTCCTAGTAACTAAGGCCAGAGGTACTGGTTCTATTGAAAACAGAGTACAGGGAGGAAGTTCCCCCAGAGCAACCATCCTTCACTGTCACCTCCAGACTGTGGAAGGTCAATCTTTTGTGTCTCCTGTAAACTGGGGCTCCAGACTGAATCCTGGCGATTTGACCCCTGAGACTTTTGTAAGGGGAAAAAAGCAGACAGTTTCTGACAGGCACTCTGTGTGACTGTGTGTGTCTGTGTGTCTGTGTGTGTCTGTGTGTGTGTGTGTGTGTGTGGATATGTGTTTATGGATATGCGCGTGTGTGTATGTGTGTGCATGCCACCAAGAGTGATCCCTGAGCACAGAGCCAGGAATCAGCCAAGAGCACTGCCATATGTGGCTTCCCCCCAAAAAAATTAAAATTAAGAATCACCTAGCGGAATCAACATAGAATGCAGAGCAGGAGAGAGTGCCAAGGCCTGAGCACACAGCTGCCTGTGAGGCCTGGGATCCAGCTCATACCCGTCCTTGCTTCCAGCACATTGTTGGACCCCAGGCAATCCAGCACTGCTGGCCCACAGCAGAACCAGACCCAGTGTCAGTGGGAGTGGTCCCAGGGTCCCCAAGCCCTGCTTTGGAGACCCCCCAGAATATAAATGAATAAATAAAAAGACATTTTGGGGGGCCAGAGCGATAGTACAGTGGGGAGGGTGTTTGCTTTGCACGCAGCCAACCTGTGTTCAATCCCCAGCATCCCATATAGTCCCCTGAACACCGTCAAGAGTGATTCCTGAGTGCAGAGCCAGGAGTAACCCCTGAGCATTGCCACATGTGACCCAAAAGAGCTGAGAGAGAGAGAGAGAGAGAGAGAGAGAGAGAGAGAGAGAGAGAGAGAGAGAAAGAGAGAGAGAAAGAAAGAGAAAAGATGTTTTCGGTCGCTAAGTAAGGAGGAGTTCACAGGACTGGGACCCCCTACTCTTTCCCAGGCACTGTGTGTAGGATTGGCTACTGATAATTCCAGGAGGCCTTCCTCATCCATTTGTTTCTTTCCTGGTGTGCTGTACACTGCATAGAAAGAATTGCACCTGACTGAGGAACCCTTCTCTCCTCTGTCCCTTGGACTAGATTGGTGTCTGACCCAGAATCAGCTCTATAAATAAATGCAGGAGGAAGGGAAGGGGCAGGGAGGAAGGAATAAAGGAAGAGAAGTGTGTGAATAGCCGCTCTTCCCGGGCAGAGACGTTCCTAACTTTCCTCATATGCTCAGAGGGGCTGTTCCAGAAAGAAAGTCCAGTGACAGGCCCAGTGCCCGTGACCACCTCCAAGGGCCTCATGTCCTCTGCTTACAAGCCAGCCTGCTACCAATGACGCAGCAGAACAGTTACCTCAAGGCCAGACTCCACAACGTCTTATCACTTGGAAAACACCGCTTGGTGTGTTTGTAACTTGATTCCACTTTTTTTTCTCTTTTTGAATTTTTGAACCACACCCCGCAATGCTCAGCTTGGGGCTGTCTCCTGGTGGTACTCAGAGGACCCTGAGATGCTGGGAATTGAACCAAGGCACCAAGGCACTGCTCCAGCCTTCTGAACTAGCCCCCAGCCCCTCAAACTCTTTGCTCTTATTAGTTTTTCCCAGTGATGAGGGTTCCCCGCCATGCCTCCAGCATCCCCAGTCTCTCACACCGCCTTCTCTGAGTTGTGTGGCACCTGTGACTCACTTTGACAAAAAGAAAGAGGGGGGTTCTGGGAGAGGGCATGGGGGTGTATGCCTTGCATGGCCTATGGTTTGACGCCCCCAGGATCATGTGACACCCCCCCTCCACTAAGCACTGCTGGGCCTTGGAGGCCCCTGAGCACTGCCATGGTCCCCAGCACCCCAGGGCCCATAGAGCACCCCAGCCACAGACTCTTGAATTGTACTGCCAGACCCAAGAGTCATGGAAGTCTCCACTGGGCGGGGCCCCTAGGCCCCTGAGAACTCTTAGGAGGCCCTTAAAGGAAAAAAAGGGGGTGTGAGAGATAGTACAGAGATGAAGGTATTTGCCTTGCCCATGACCAGTCCTGGCACAATCCCAGAGTCATATATGGGTCCCTGAGCCCCACTGGGAGTGATCCCTGAGCACTAAGCCAGGAGTAGGCCCTGAGCACTGCTGCATGGAGCCCAAAAACACA